CGGCCCGCGGGCGGCCCCCAGCGGCGCGGGCGGGCGGGCGGCCTCCTTCCGCGCCCAAACCGGCCCCCAGCCCGCGCGCTTCGGGACCAGCCCCAAGGTCTCCCCGCTGCCCACCCCCATCTGAGCACAGCGCCACCGGCCACACCGGTGGGGGGCTTGAACAGGCCTGGGAGGGCTCCTCCGCGCGGCGCTGGGGGCGGGGAACAGCTCCTGGAGACCAGCTCCTGGAGACCTACTGTGCGCAGGGCAGCACCCCTGGCGCGGTGGGCGGGCTGGGGATGCTGGCTGAGGGAAGAAGGGGTACCAGCTCACACCATCCCTGCCCCAGGGAGGAGTCGGCCAGCAGGCCCTGCCAGCTGTGAGGGCTCAGGCCGCAGAGGGACAGGACAAGTGGGGGTCCCCATACCCGGGATGAAGCCCCACTGTTTTAGGAGGCCAGGGACCCAGGAGTGAGGGCGACGGGAGGGATGGAGGTGACAGGTAACAGGTGTCTCTTCCTCTGCCTACCTCTGCACTTTTCCAAATTCTTTCCATCATCTTCTTAAATTATGGATGCAATGATACATACAATTGAAATATGCATCACACTGAAGAACTATAGCTTCTCTCTACCCCCGTCCCAGGCAATTCTGAGCCGAACGCTGTTAACCATCCCTCTGCATCCTTCCAGAATGGTCCCCGTCCTGTCAGAACACCAGGGCAGTCCCTAATCCTTCTGACCTGCCACGGGGTTTTTGTGGGGTTGTTTTTTTGGTTGGTCGGTTGGTTAGTTTTCACTTAGTAAAACCTTACATATCTTCCAAGTCAATACATATCGACCTATATTTTTCTCTTTCAGTGGCTGCATTCCACTCAAAGGTCAGCTGGGCCATGCCGTGTTCACCCAGTCGCGGGCTAAGGGGCATTTAGGGCGGCTTCTGTCACAGCTACACGACCCGCTCTAGTCCACCGCCAACACCTCCGTGAGGGTTTCAGGTGGATGCACATCACAAAGGGGCCCTTGCGGGACAAGGGGAAAGGTGCTGGAATCACTGGAAGACCCTGCCAGTTGCCCTGTCCCACCAAGTGCATGCGCGGTGCGCCACAGCCAACTCAGGGAGCACAGAGCTTCCTGGGCCTCGTCTGTTTGGCAGAACGTGGCACCCCACTCTAGTCTGCATTTCTAAGTCACTAGTCCTGTGGTGCTGCGTGCTCAGCTGACCACAGGTCTCTCTCCGTCATCAGACTGGAGCCTCCTGAGCAGATGGATGGCATTTTCACCTCTGGGCCCCTGTGCCAGGGTCAGAGCCTGCCACCCAGCACACGTGAGGAGAATGTTGCTTAACGAAGATGTTAATGACAACGAGGTACAGCTACTGGCTAGTTAACCACGCACCAGGCGTTAGGTTAAACCCCTCAATGTAGTTTCTTATTTAACTCCCATTTTATGGGGAAACTGAGGTATGGAGCAATCCAATCAGTTGCCCAAGGCCACACATGGCTTCTACATGTCAGGACTGGGGCAAACGTAGGACTAGAAAAAAGAGACACACACTGGGAAGGCTGCCCGGAGAGGGGCCACGGCCCCGCCTGGGGGCAGAGAGGAGCACGGGAGCGCTGAGGGGCCAGAGAGAGGGGTCGGAGGAAGAGCAGGTGTGGACCAGGGCTTTCTGCGGGAGGGAACCACGTGAGCAGACAGCCCCGGCCTGTGCAGGGGCACGTCCTCTGCCTTCTCTGTCTTCACGTCTGACTGAGGAGGCGACAGCATCGCCCCGGGGAGGGATGAGAAAAGAGAAGTCAGGATGTAAAGCCAGAGTCCCCCAAGGAGGCAAGGGCAGGGGCCGCAGGGCTTCCTGACAAGGGGGCGGCCCCCACTGCCTGTGGTCAAGGCTGCTGGAGGAGCACGGGGCCCACACAGGATCCAGATGGTGACAGCACAGTGGAGACATGGGGTCTGCATCTTCTGGGCCTGGGCTGGGGCCCAGCAAGACCTGGTGCCCACCCGCCCACGGCGCCCCACTGAGCAGACGCTAAGCTCCTTGTGGGCAGGGTCTGCCTGCTCCCGTCCCCACAGCGAGGGGGAGTCCACGCACAGCTGGTCAGCAGGCAGGGGTGACAGGGCCCTGGCCCCCAGCCAGCACAGCCGCATCTCGGCATTGGCAGGGCTGGCTCTCCCAGGGAAGGAGTGAATGGACGGAGGCTTCCAGGGATCAGGGCCAGGCCTTGGCCTCCTGGAGGGGATGAACCCTGCCCTCAGCCTGATGGAGCAGCCACCTTCCAAAGGCCGGTGGCAGACACACACAGGTCGCTGCCCTCCTTGAAGCCCTCCCCGGCCATGCAGGCAGGATCCCCCCAACGAAGAAAGAGACCCCCACCAAGCCCAGGATTTTGTCCATGGACCCCAGAGCTCCCAGCCCAGAGTTCTGAGATGATCAGGCCCAGAGCACCCCATGTTCTAACACCCCCTTGAGAACACAAAAGAAACCACCTCTCACAACCGTTTCCTGTCTTTCTGTCAACAAGGTTTTTTTATTCTACCAACTGGATTTCTAAGATCTCTACAGCAGGGACTGGTATGAACACCAGGGAACCTTTCTAGTCCGTGGGATACCCCGCCAAGCCCTCTGGATGCGAGCAGCTTCGCAGCCTGAGAATGGTGCTTGGTCTCTGTCCAGCGCCTCCCGGGTTTCCAGTCCCAGATGGGCTGCCAGGGAGGCGGCTGGAAGCAGAGGGACCTCCGTCCTTGCTGGCTTGCAGTCGGAGGTGTGAGGTGGACTAGGAAGATGCAGGGATGCTCTGGGTTTGAAACTCAGCTTTGTCATCAAGACCCGCACTGGAGAGCAGGCCCTGGGCTTACCGGGGGTCCCGGGATACACAGTGTTGGTGGGCGCTGGACAGCCACGGAGACAGGATGGAGAAACCAAGGCTCCCGGAGATGCAGGTGGCACAGGGGTGCCTTGAGAGCAGGCCGTCTGGCCAAGGCGGCCCCGGGCAGCCAGTGAGGTTTGCTGTGGGGCAGAAGAGCGGGCCAGGTGCAGAGGCCAGGGAGGCCAGGAGGGCCCCCGAGGTGCCCAGCAGGGGCGGTGATGCTGAAATGCAGGGTCCCGAAGGGCAGTGCTCCCCACCCAGGGCCGCGGAGTGTCTCCACAGTGCGCTGCTGTGTTTGCTGGCTTATGCTGGGGGTTGAACTGCCACCCAACCCCTGTACCTGTGAAGGTTAATGTGGCCTTATCTGGGGACAGGGTCTTTGCAAATGAGCAAGTAACGTCGAGGTCATGAGGGTGGGTCCTGCTCCATGACCGCGTCCTTATAAAAGGGGGATCTGGACACAGACACGCATGCAGGGAGAACGCCGCCGTGTGATGGAGGAGGGGCGGCGGGGTGCAGCCTGGAGCAGCCTCGCCCTCAGCATCTCCAGGAGGAACCTGCCCTCCACCCAGGCCTCACGCCTCCACAGCTGGGAGGGAACAAATGTCTGTAGTTCTGAGGCTCACGAGCAAAGGAACACTGTGACATTGCTTTTCTCAGGAGCTTTCAAACAAGAGAGTCAGGAAACAGCTCCCAAGGCTGCCCACTCCTCAGGGGACCCCTGGCCTCTTCTCCCTCCCCCTGCCTCCTGCCAACAGTGGGGAGGGTCCAGGCTATCTGGATCAGTCTAACTTGGGGTGAGATAAGAGCAAAGGGGCTGGGAGTCCAACAGTCTCAGAGACCCCAGGCCCAAATCTGGGCACATTTTCTTCCTCTTGAAGCCAAGGATGCTCCCTCCACACAGCCTCCTTGGGGCCCCCAGGTTCCCACCTACAACCCTGGCCTGCGGCCCATCCCGGGATCATGCCTTCCTGTGGGACCCCCTCCTGGTCTCACCTCTTTGTCCTTCCTCGAGGCTGATGGGCAAGGGCAGGCCTCAAGGAAGGCCAGGGGGAGCCAGACACATCAGACACAGCTGTCTGTGTGCCTGACTAGGGGCCCTGTAGGGCAGGCCCTGCCTCCAAGGAGGAGAAACAGATCGGCCGTCACCTGTGTTTGCTGGAGGGGACGAGGGGGCCACCCAGTATCAGGGAGGACAGGGAGGAGTCAGCAGGGCTTCCCAGGGTGAGTCTGAGCCAGCTACAGGAAGGCATCTCAGGCCGACGAGCACAGAGGCCTGGGGCTTTGGGGAGGTACTGACACAGTCCTGGGGGGCTGGCCCCTGTCCTGAGGGTTTGGGGAGTAAGACAGGGACTATATGTCTGCCCTTGGGGGTCCACGGGAGGGTGTCTGGGAAAGGCAGGCCTGAGGGCGAAGACCTAGGGGAGACAGCTTGCTCATCTGGGTATGGGGGTTGCGCACACGGGGAGAGGGTGGACTCAGGGCTTTGCGGCCACGGGAGGCACCGGAGATGGTGCACCACCAAAGCCCACGCAAGATCAGGGAAGGGTCCGCCTGGGGACCATGGACACAGAGGCAGAGGGCCGGAGACAGGGACCTGGGCCGTCGGGAGTGCCGGGAGGCTGCAGCAGGCAGGCCACCCAGGAGCGGCTGAGCCAGGGAGGGGGCCCAGGTGACCTGGGCACAGGGGGGCCGTGCAGAACGCAGGAGGGAGCTCCCAGGGAAGGGGGCAGTGAGGCAGGACAGCGGAAAAGCTGCAGAGCAGATGGCAGATGGAGAGGACAAGCTCAGACAAGGAAGCAGCATGAGGCCTGGGTGCCTCTGGCATCCCCCATCCCCACAGAGGGGGCCCCTTCCCTTGGACACCCCCCGCCTGTGTCCGCTAGCCCTTTTTCTGCCCGGACACCTCTGTCTCCGGATTCTGGAGGAAATTCTGTAAAGGGGGTAGGGCTGGCACTCTTGCCCAGGACAGGAGAGGGGACACACCCAGCCCAAGGGAGGTGGCCAGCGTGAAGGCCAGTCCCGGCCACCCCCGGCCAAACCCAGTCCCAGGCGCTCAGGAGGAGCTGAGCGAATGCTTGCAGTCC